ACCGTCGGACGAGTTCGATAGCAGCTTATGAAGTGGAAAATCATGGGTACCGGTGTCTCGTACACGGACCCGATCGTAACACGGATGATTTAAACGTTGTAATTCGCTCCCTATCTCCGCGCATCCGGTCTGTTACCGCGTTGCGCGTGCTCGCTGGCACGGTGGTGCATGATATAACAGGCAATGCGCATTAAACGATAATTTAAGTCCGTCTATCGTGTACTTAAATGATGCTTTGCAATTCAGCTTTACAACTTCATAACACACGTAGCGTGCGCGTGTTTAGCCACGACGTACGTGCGAAAAAAAAAATGGCGTACGCGCAATTCCGGCGAATCTTGGATCCGGACTATAATTTTTTTACATGTATTTCTTATATTAATAAAAATTGGGCGTCGGTCCCGCGGGACCGACGCCGGCCGAACGGGCAATGAGGCGTCGGTCCGTAGGGACCGACGCCGTCTCGAACATGTTGACACGCGATAATTTAATCAGAGTATGTATAAACTTTCGATGTACGTATTTTTACATTTAAACTTTTCGTCACGTGTTGAACTCGATCGGCCGATTGTGACTCCAGGACGTTCAAACGTGCAACCGATCATTACACCACGTCGTTAACCACTCCTATCGCACAGAATCGGTCAGTGTGCGTTGCGTACTGTTTTCCGTGAACTGTCGCCGGGGCGCTCGTTACAGTCGAGGCATTCGCACTGGCCAGATATGCGCAGATTAGCTATCTTCGTATGAGTCCGGCACTGCGGTGGAGAGGGGGAAAAATAGAGGACGAAAGTACGAGAGAGGACGAATTGTGCGCGGTAGAGAAAAAAAAAAGAAGGGCCATCCGACGGTCACGTATTCACCACTGAGACGTAGGCGAACGATCTGTTACGATCGATGATCGAGCAGATCGTAACGAAACGAAACGAAACGAAGTGGGTTAGACTGAAAGAAACGGGGTAAATAAGGGCAAAGTGTAAAGCGGAGCAGCGGCGATGCACTGTGCTCGGCTGAAGGCAAGCACGCGGGCAAACGAGTCGCCCGAGTGCGCATGCGCCCTGTCCCCAGCGAGCCCCCTACCACGCGTGTCCGGCCGCGTGGCGTTCTGATCAATCGCGGCGTTGCCAAGTCCTCGACTGACCCGGTGAAAGAGGGAGCGACAGAGACGAAGCGAAACGGGACGGTGCTACCCGGCGTTTTCGTTTCTCCCCACTCCCACGCTGTATCGTTGCCCGCTCACCCTGTCGATCTAGGGGAACATCCTTGCCCATCCCCACCCTCCTAGCACGTGGAGACGCGCCTCTTTCAATTTTTCATACCTTATCGACCTGTGGATTCAGCCGTCGCGTTGCGAGATGCGTTCGCAAGAAAATCCGATCAAGGATCGGGAAGTGCGATACGAGTTGCGCTCGGATGGAGAAAGGAAGGGGTTTTCGTCCGTTTATCGGTTGACGTTGCCCGTAGAGGGCGGAAGGGATGCTGGTTTCGTAGAACACGAACGCGTTTCAATTATCAGGGTGGGATTTTTCAACTTATGAATAATTAATTTCCATTGTACCGTTTCCTTTTTATTGACTTTGTTTACTGCGTTTCCAGGTGCCAAATTGAAGAGGGAGCGTACGGAACAAGATGACTTGTTTTGCGAGGAGAAGATGCTCATTATCGACGGTAAGTTGAAAAAAGTCGAAAAAAGAAATACGTACAGTATTACGGGGTAGTCCCCGCGTAACTGACCAACGCTTACCCCCACCAAATCTTGGAATTGGGACTGTCCTCGCTACCTTACCGTGAAACATAACATTAATATATATACACGAAGCAAGCGGTGAAACAGTGATGCTCATCCCCTTACTTTCTTCCGATACCAATTCCTGGAATACTCGTTTAACTGACCAAAGTTAAGGTCCCGATTGTTGATCAGTTGCGTGGGGACTACTGTATTACGTGTCTTAGGAACGCTTGTTTCGCTCAATACGAAGAGTGTAAAGCTTTCGACGACGAGCCGAAAACACAGTTAACCTCTTGCGCTGGCAACTGGTTCACGGACCATAACGAGTGACCAAACTGTATACAATAATACTTTTTGAATTCTGGATAGAAATTACTAAGAAGTGATAAATTTATTATTTGTTTTGCCTGGGTTATATTTAAATATACTTAAAACCGAGGGAATGTTGCAATTTTGCTCGTTAATTTTGGACTACAAAATTCGGAGAGCGCCCACTAATGTCATTTTCTTTCTTTCTGTCGCCGTTAACTAACCGAGTCGATCGTGTATAATTCATCGCGATTGCACGCAGTCGCTTTCGATTCGAATGATCGACAACGATCATCGCGACGGAACGCCAGCGAGTGCGAAGAAAAAAAAAAAACGAGTAACAGTTAACTGGAACAAGTAGATAAAGGAGTCTGCATCGGAATCAAACGACTCGAATCGAAGCCTGTCTCTCTCTTTCTCTGTTCGTTGGCGAGTTTTCTTCTCTCTCTCTCCCTTCCCCATCATTGAGCGAGGCTAACGATTTTTGCTCGCTCCGATTACGTTTCGAAACGCACACGCGATTTCGCGACGGACGTTTCGAGTTTCAACACGTCGCAGAACGTGGTGGTGTACGTGTCCACGAAGTGGGAGATAGATAGCGTACCCTCGGGCGACAAGGACAGAGTGTCGCGGATGACTGGAGGCAACTCTCGCGCGAACGGAGATGTCACGGAAAGCGGTGGCGGCCGAGAGGCGAGGAGAAGAGAGGGGAGGGGAGGAGAGGAGAGGTTGCTCGGCGTCGCTGCTGCCGTCGCCACTGGCGGCGTGCACGGGCGGAAGAAGTGGGGTAAGGGAGCTAGGGGATCGTCATCCTCAGGTTGGAGGCGGTGGCACTTACGTTTAGACCTCAGTCGGCACCCGCGACTCACGCGGTCACGGAGTTTCCTTCGTTTGGCCAAATCACGCACGCGCGCGATCGAACGAACGATCGATCGATCGATCGATCGATTCACGAGTGATGGTCGCTCGTTTCTTGAAAACCGATACACCATTTGCGTTCGTCTAACTTCGTTTATCGATTGACGATCATCGACGGTTTTTCAACTGATTCCAGGGACACGTACTCGTGACAAAGATACTCGTTCATCGATTGACGTTGTAGTTCAGAGACGACGTCGTCGTGTCGTATAATATAGATTTCTTTTTATAAAGGACCAAGCCGCGGAGCTGCGTAAACACATACGTAAACATACATACACACACACACATATATATATATATATGAAAGTCAGACTGGCTATTAGATACGCGCAAAAGGTCGCTGGTCGAGGTTGTGCGTCGTTGCAGATATACCGATACTCGAGACGCCGCTTTATCACTCGAGAGATTACACAAGTGAGAACCGTAGGCCGCGTCACGATCTAGGATAGTGTCTTTCTTCCTAGGTTTGCACGACCGATAGTTCTGGAAATCTTTCGAACAGTCATCCTTCGAGCTGTAAATCAAACGGTAATCTGTCGCCACGTTACGCTTCTTTGAAGCTCTGAGAGCGTTGTCGAAACGAAACGAAACGAAACGATGCGCGATTAAGGACTTCTGCGTGGCGAAAGAAGACCGGGGCGAGAGAGTCACGCACGAGACCACGAGTGTTTCGAAAGTTCTGATTTTTTTTTTTTTTTTTTTTCTTCCCTCGTTACCGGTATATAGACAACGACCTCGCCATGTCGTATTCATTCGTCGTGTAACTTCCTCCCCTCCCTGTGTGAAACTGTGTGACGCAGCCCTCTCTCTTTTTCCACGCGCCTCGCATTCCCCGGTCGTTTCCACTTGTTTTCGAGCGACCGCTCCGCCGCTCGACGGCGTGTCTCCTGCACACGACGACGGTTTTATCGGTCGTCGCAAGGCTGGCGTGCTCGACGATCCCGACCACCGAGCAACAACGACGTGTCTATCTACCTCTCGTGTATAATAGCGTAACGTCGTCGTACGCGCACGCAGATCGAAGTTCCTATCGTCGAAGGAAGTTCCAAAGTCGTCGTCGTCGTCGTCTATGTGTGTGCGTATGTTGGAAAGTTATCATCGTGTGCGACAATTGTGTGCGCGGCTGGTTCTGGTTCTGGTTCGTGCGAGGCAAGGAAACTCTTAATTCACTCGGGAGGCAGAAGAGGAGGAGAGGTGGTCGAAATTGCTATTATTATAAAATTCACCCGCTTGGTTCATCGTAGAGCAGAAAATTCTATCGGAGAGGAGAGATAGCAAATGGATATAGAAACAGTTTCTCGGACGTGCTGAGGAAGAAGGAGAGAAAAAAAAAAAAAGAAAAAGAGACGGAACGTTCGTTCGCCGAACTGTGTGTACCAGTGTGCTGCATGTATAACCGGTAACGTCTAGCGTGAGAGCAAGTGCTTTCGTTCGTTCGTCCTCTTTTCTGTGTCGTCGTTTGGCGCGTGTGTTCGTACACGGCATAACGAGGGGAGGGGGACAGCGCGCGCGAGATCGCGCGTTTTGACCGTCAGGAACATGGGTGTTCTATTGGTCTCGGATGGCACAGCGGCGGTTCAGCCTCGTATGAATTTGAACGCGGTTAAAGCCACGGGCGCGCAGCGTGCGATCGACATCGATAACGAGGCGAATAACAATGTAAACGGGCTGAGAGACGCGAATAGTCTGATGCCGACGCAGGTCGTCGGTATAATCGACGTGGTCGTCAACGACGAGCCGGTGCGCAGCTGGATGCCGCCCCCGCCCAAGAAAAAATGGATACGACATTATCTGCTCGGTGAGCCAAACTTTCGTCTGCCTTTCTTTGTTCTCTCGTGCCGGAACGAGAACCAGGAACTGTGTTTTTCTTTTCTTCTGTGAATAATGTAGAAGGACAACGTACGTTTTCAATAGATTTGTTTTGTTTCTGACAGTGCCGTTTGCCCGCGATCGAGTTACATATTTCTAAGTTCTCTTTCTCGTATTTATACGCGAGTTCCTGAGAAATAATTACTAGCTTTACCGAAAAATACGTGTTCTCTAAAAGTTAACCTCTTGCGCCGGCAACTGGTTCACCGACCATAACGAGTGACCAAACCGTGTACAATAATACTTTTTGAATTCTGGATAGAAATTATTAAGAAGTGATAAATTTATTAATTTGTTTTGCCTGGATTATATTTAAATGCACTTAAAACTGAGAAAATATTGCAATTTTAGGACTAAAATGTTCTCTACAAGTTAACCTCTTGCACTGGCAACTGGTTCGCGGACCATAACGAGTGACCAAACTCTATACAATAATGTGTCGCTTTCTTTTTGAATTCTGGATAGGAATGACTAAGAAGTGATAAATTTATTATTTGTTTCGCAATTTTGGGGCAAAAAATTCCGACGTGTGTTATTCCAGCAACTTTTAGGGAGCAAACAATAGTTTATCATAAGAAGCTTTTGCTTCTTTAAATCATTCAATTTAACCTAAAGAAGTCCGACCTAACCTTAATTAATGATCACGATATTTTATTTTCAAACGATTCAACATTTTTACTAAGTAATTGTTAACGTTGTTAAATGTTAAAATACAGAAGATTCCACGGTGGATTCCACGGTCTTCCTCTATATTAGTTGCCCTTTTTGTTACACGAAGTACAGCCAGTCGGGTTCGATCGTACCGGCTATTTCTTTGTTTGCCACAGAGCGGTCTTATCGACCGTTCAATTTTTGATCCAACTATCGGCAGGAATATTTCCACGGGCGAGAACCGTTCGCGTCGCGAGCACGATACATTTATTTCAATGTCGTAGACGCGATAAAGTCACGATCCGACGATAAACGTACGTTTCAAACGTACTTTTATCAATTACTCGAACAAATACGACCCTATAATTAGAGAATGTCGCGCGTCGATTGAATTATTTTCTATCAGACGTGTATTTTCACCTCGTTCGAAGATTCGCGCTTTTGTTTTTTTGCACACATGTCGCCGTTGTATCTCGATGATTCGCGATATTTCGACATTTTCTTCCCCTACCCCGTTGAATATTTTCCTAGCTTTCAGGATTAACGAGACGAACACGTAAAAATTACTCTACCGTGAAATTACTTTTATGGAGATCGATTTCTTTCGAATCGTTGCGCGCATTGATCGTTTTGATCAGGAGCAGATAAGACCAGTGTAGGTATCTGGCTTCTTTTTCATTATGTATCGAGTAAATTTTTCAAATTGAAGAATCGTAATCGGTTGTCAAACAGCTCTTTCTCGAAGTGTTTGGATAATAATAAAATTTGTCCGTATAGAGTGTTCTGTGCAATAAACTGCACAGGTTAGGTTAGGTTCAAGCAAGTAAATATTAGGTTAGTGCATGTCAAATGCCGTTTCATGCATACGAGCTTTTATTGTACCTACTTCTTTCAAAACTATCATGGATTTAATCAAAGTGATTTCCTTCTTCAACAATTTCTATTTTTTTTTTTTT